GGGATGCTTGGAATAAAATCCTCTTTCTAATCATCTCAGGGAGATAGGAAACAGGGATTATTAAATAGCTTTTTATAGATCTTGAAAACTAGCCAGATCCCAAGGCTTGGCTATTTCAGCTTTAATTCAGCCCACGTGGAAGCTGAGCTCTGTGCATGTTTGTCCCTGGCAGAGAGGCTGCCTGTTTTGTGTCATTCTGCTGCTACCCTTTGCCATGTAGGAACATTGATGGGCAGCCACCAAAGTCCTATGTGCCACTGTGGGCAGGCAGACAGCAGTTCCAACCTCGAAGCAATGGTTTGTGTTTTACCTGCATGTGGCAGAGCACAGGTAATTGTGCTTCCAGTGCCCGGAGGTGCTGGTTGGTCACCTCTGCTCTCTCTATGGGCTCTTGAGTCCCTTTCTCCTTGCTTATCTCAGCAGACCTGTAGGGGCAGAGGCTCATATGCTTTTACAACAATGCTCAGCTGGTGTCCTGGGTGGATATTGCATTCCTCTGCTGTCTCTCATCAAACAGTGCTGTCCGCCTGCTCTGTCATTTGTCTTGTCATCCAGGAGCCCCGCATTGTGTACAGCTTCGACACCTCCATCCCTCTCTGCAGGAACTACACTGGTAATTAACATTCTGTTTCATAGAATAATAGAATCACAGAATCAGCTGGGTTGGAAGGGACCTCTGAGATCATCAAGTCCAACCCTTGTGAGAACCAGCACTGTTCACTCTCGGACTTTTCAAACTATTCCAGCTAACAACCCTATGTACACATTTTCTTCTACACGTTTCACTCTCTAGACTGTTCAACAAACCCACTTACCCCTGGCTGCCTGAGCTTTTCTCTTTTTTTGTCTGAATTTGCTTATTACATAGTCTTCTTGGCCTATGAACTGCTTCAGTTTCACTGTGTTTCTGTTGCAGCTTCAATAGAAAACTGAATTACAGAAAAAATTACATATATTTTGTAGTGACTACTGCTTTGGTGTAACAAACTAAACAGGATCGGGCCCAGTCTTTTTTTATCCTTTTATTTTTTTAATCCCCATGGGGGAATCTCAATAAAGCTATTGAATCCTGGAAACATACTAATGATTTAGTCAGGAGCATTCTTTCTGTTGAGCCAGGCTTTAATCAGCACTTACTTCTACTTCCTTGCTGGTAATAATGCACTCCACCCTCACCACCACAGACTATGTGATATATCATTCAAGGAAAAAGGAAGTAACTGGTCAATCTGCCCAAATCCACCCAGGAAAAAGCAAGCTTTATTCCCTAAATTCTCTGGTCCAGCTTACAGTATTCTCTCATGCTTCCTGCCACCATCTATCGTGTTTCAGTACTGTTTACCATGATAAGACACTGCCTACCCAGTTTTGCCTCACAGGAAATAATTTCTGTAGTGAGGCCAGGGACTAGTTGTACACATTGCAACGAGGCCCCTCACTTAATTATGATGGCTGATAGCAGCTGTAGCCACACCTGTTATGCCTGTTATTGTATGTGCCATACATGCAATAACATACACCTGGGTTTCAAAGTGAGCCCAGTCTGCCGGCACTAAAGACTGGGAGAAATCCATTCACTTGAGCATCTGGCAAGTTGTCGTCAATCACTTGTGGTTAAAATATGCATATGATTGTTTTTTGGTCTTTTTAATCAACTGTGAAGCAGAAGTGAAAGACAGACAGTGGTCTGACCTAGAGCTTCTGCTTCACTTGGTTCCTATAAGCAAATGAAGGATTGCAGGAAAGAGACAATGTGGGGATGTGTTTGGTCTAATCAAATGTCTAAGAGCTGCAGTGGCCTTTTCTATAATTGGGAAAAGGCGGAACTGCACCTCCTTGGACAATCCGCAAGGTAATAAGGGTCTAGTCTGCTGTTACTGCTGGGCTTCTTACAAGGCAGAAGTGCAGCCTGAGTCTCTAATTCTGCCTCTGGGTGTCCTGCGAGACAGGGAGAGCATCCGCTCCCACCTCGGTCTGGGATCCTTCCAAAGAAGGAACTGTATCCGCTTCCACTGTGGTCTGGGACTGTGGCAAAGGAGGAACTGTAGTACAGGACTCCAGTCCTGCTTTTTTGATAAACTCTGTGAAAGTGAGGGCATCTGCTTTCTTTCCTGTTCGGGACTTTCTCTCTAGGAAGAGACCCATGTTGTCTCTGTATGGGAGGGCAATGGATCTGCTGAAGAGAGGCTCCTCAATCCCCAGCAGCTCTCGCACATGTCGTGAAATTTCCTGAAATACAAGATAAAATGCCACAAATTCTCATTTCACAGGGCAACAGATAAAACTATACATTCTGTGTCAGAGCAGCAGGAAAAATAATTGAATTTCTGAATTTTGGAACAGTTTCACACTTGAAGTTGTAATGCAAGATGGATCTGAACCCATAAGCCCCATGTGACATTGTAAAAGCAGAGCAGATCCCTTTTTCTCCAGAATTACTGTGGGGGATGACATCACATCTGGTCTCTTAGTGGCATAAATAGCTCCACTTTCCTCTTTGCACTTGAAGAACAAACAAGTTATAGGTGAATGAGCTGCAATCTCTCCTGCTTATTTCAAAATCATTGCTGTTTGTTAAGTTATAATGTCAACAGCAGAGTCTAAACACAAGAGTAAAAACTAATTAGCAGTAAGTCATACTGCTCATTAAGAAAATGGCTGTGTGAGCCAGCTAGACCTGGAACTGTCAGTGAACAGAGCCTTGCCATTATTTTTGAAGTCACTTCTGAGAATGTAACCATCTGATTCGACTGAAGCTTCAAAATACAATTCTCAAGGTTTTACTGATTTTTCACAGTGTTTGCTCAAAATCTTCTCCCAACTTGGGCTTGACTCCGAAGAGTAGTACCCTACTTTGTGTGATAACAAAAGAACACCAGACTGGTATCTTCAGTGGTTTTGATATATAAAATACCAATACAGTGGGATTAAAACCAGCAGTAATGTCACTTGTCCATGCTGCATAGCTTCCACCTAATTAGTTGTGTAGTTCTCTACCAAATTGCCATTTCCCCTAAACTGCAAACAGTTTCTGTCTCACTGAGCTGTTGCTATCACTTTTATTTCTATAGTAACTGTATCAGTTTCAACTGCTCACAGCCTTTAGTTTATATTTCTTGTTGGGAAGTGATGGCCTTAACGTTTCACCTGCTCTAGTGCACACTTCCTGAAAGACTCACAGGGCCACGTCCTGCAGAGCTCTGCATGCTTGGATTTCATCACAGAAAAGTTCTTTAAAACACAAATAACTAACAGGATAAGGCATAACCTTCAAGAACATCTCGGTTCCACTGAAGACTGTGAGATGTTCCCAGTTTACTTGCAAGCTTTGGAAAACATTACAGAGACAGTCTCATTTCCAAGCTTGCTGCACTATGCTGGCTATCACTTATCCTGAGGAATTTCAGTTCCTACAGGAGGAAGGTTACAGTTGGTACCTTTAACCCACGGCTAAGTATTTCTCAACAGTTGCATTACCATCATACACAATCCCTATATCCCAATATGAGGATGAGGCTTACAAAGGCTATAAAGTTCTTGCCACCTTTGGTAAGCACAAATGACTATAAAGGCTCTATCTGCTTGTACCTGAAATATTCTTGAAGGGCTGCTGTCTGAAAAACTAAGTGTTGTAAATTGATGCTTTCCTCTCAAAGCAGCAGGCAAACTCATGGCTCTAGTCAGTCTTTTTGGTGGCATATATTGTTTCAAACAGTTAAGATTGTGCAGCCAGGCAGAACGGTAGTGAAATAGCATTTTGGTGCTCAAGAACAAATCAAACTGTGCTAATACTCTAGTCATTGGAGCATAAAGATTTTTCTCTCTTCCAGGTTATTTGAACTTCTACCTATGTCTTCTGGGGAAAGTAACATCAAATTATGATGCAAAGCAGACAGTTTGGCTCTGTAAATGCAGCCCCAAGTCCCTCTGAGGTTTCCATTAGGGAAGGAAAGAAGGGTTATGAAATTTAAGTCAACTTGTTGATTTTCTGAACCTTTAGGAAGCCCTGGAAGGCCATATTGTAACCCCCAAAGTCAGTTCTTAACCATCAGTGTCTGTTAAAAAAATATGCAGGTTTGAAAAGAAAATGGCCAAAACAAGGAAGTAAAAATGAGTGGCCTTTTTGCCGCTTGAGATCAGTGGCTCAACTGCTGCAGGTTAAATCTGACTAGACTTTCAGAAGTTCTACAAATGAGTAAGTGGAAAATTACTAAAAAAAAATTCCAAGTGGTATCTAAAAAAGGTGTGTGCATCTTGCTAAGCAATTTTAGGAGCCCAGGGGAACAACATAGGCTTAAAGAAAGGCCAAGTACTCCTGGTGCACTTCTGGTGCCCCAGCTGCGGCCAGTTAAAGATCTGTACTTGAAAAGACTCTAAAAATGTGACTGTTTGGCTGAACAAGTTTGGTTGTCCAGTTCCAGGCTCACTGCCTGGGCAGGCAGGCCATGGCCCAGCCTGCTTCTCAGCGATAAGCGTCAGCGAGGGGGGTCAGGGGGCTGAGGGAGCCCCGGGACCCGCCAGGCGCACCTGCATGTGGCAGAAGTCCGTGACGCCCATGGCGGGCAGGTTGGAGCAGTTGGCGAGGACGAGGCGGCGGCCGGTGATGCCGTTGGCCCTGAAGCATTCCTGGGCGGGGGAGCGGAGGGAGAGGCGGGTCGCCCTCTGCCACTGCCGCCCCTCTTGCCGCTCACACACGCTCGCTCCCACACACACACACACACGCACACACACACGCACACACACACACACACACAGAGCTCAGGGCCATCGGTGCAGGGGGCGCTCAGGGCGGGGGCAGCCCCGCACCTCGTACTGGGGGAAGCCGAGGTGTGCCACCCACTCCGCCACCTCCTCGGCACTCCAGGTCAAGAAGGGGCAGGCGGACCGCGGCACTCCAGCGCCCTGGAGCTCGGGCTCAGGCTCCGGCCCCTGGGGCCCCGGGCGCGGCTCCATCAGCTTCTTCCCCAGGCCTCCCCGGCGTCTTTCCGGGATCCGTTACCATGGTAACCGCCACTTCCCGGAGGCGCACCCCGTTCTCCCCTCCGCCACCCCCTCCGCGCTGTCAGCCTGCAACGCCGCCCGCGCCCCACGGCTCTGCAGAACTAGATGCTGATTGGCTGCGTTGCCGAGGGGGGAGGCTGAGGGATGAGCACCAAGGCGCCACCATCTCCCTCCTGCCGGGATCACACGCCCCC